GCGGGGGAGAGCACGCCCCCAGCTCCTCATAGCCTGCCCCTGCCCATGATGCTACCCTCTCACGCCCCTGCTCCCAAAGGGTTCTGGCAGGCATGGACACTCCTCACCTGGCAGGAACCTCAGCTCAGCACATCCAAGGAGAGCCCTCTCAAATATCACTTTGCTATTTCAAACCCACCAAGGACGCTGGACCCCTGCCACAGAGCCACAAATACCTCAGCTCCCGTCCACACCCAGGACTCTGGGGCGCTTTTTGACTTCACCAACCTGCCTGGAGAGACAGGATCACAGCTGGGGGTGCAGGGTGTGAGGGTCACCTAAGTCCTGCTGGGGTGTGCATAAGGGTAGAAGAACCAGCTCCACCGAGGCGGACCTGAAAGGGGCCGAAAGTCTTCTGAAAAGGAAAACTGAGGCTCAACACATGCCAAGGTCATGGACTCCACGTCCACTCTGAACCCCACGTTCGTCACTGGGGATGATGGATGGGGCTTGGGACAGCAACCATGAGCCTGCTGAAGTCATGCACAAAGTCTCCTCTGTGGGGATACATGCGTTTTCTGGAAGGGAAGGCCATAGCTTTTCTCAGATTTTTCCTGCCAAGATAGCCACTGCAACGTAACAAACTCCCTTCCCAGAGCCTGGATCCCATCTCTGCCAGTGACTCTGCAATTCACCTCACAGGGGCTTTACTTTAATTCTCCCCTGAATTATTTCTTCAGTGACTATACACAGGCACGCTTCGGGTCAAATGCAAATACCTTCCCTCTGCTTTGTAGGAATTCTGTATCAAATGAAGGTTGTCAAACACTAAGAGGTAGAATCTGAAAAACTGGGGACTGGTCCCAGCTCTGCCACCTTCTGGCTATGTGCCCTCAGACAAGCCATCTCAACTCCAGGCCTCAGTTTCTTCATCTGTAAAATGGGGGTCAGACCTGATCACCTGGCAGCTATGAAGCCAAACTACAACCATGCGATGAAAAAGAGTTATGTAAAAAAAAAAGAAAGAAAAGAAAAAGAGTTACGTAAGGTAGAGCAACCTGAGTGTCGCTGCTCTCCAGCACCTTCAACTCAGACACTGAGCTGGTGGGTGGGAGTGTCCACTCCAAGAAAGGCCAGGACCAGACAAACATTGGTGTCTAAAAGAACCCAAGGGCTTCATCAGCATCTGAGAACCTCTGCTCGAGCCAGAGGGGAATAGCAAGGAAACCGCAGGCTGGGTCCCTGCGAGACTCCTCCTGTGGCCTCAGGGCTCTGCTAACTTCAGGTAAACCAATTTCTCAGAAAAGTCCATTCCAAGGACTAAACCTGCATCCCTCTGAGTTACGTGTGGTCAATGCCAGGGTACTCTTGGCTTATACACGATGAGCCAAACAAACTGAAGCTGCCAGGTGTGGAGAGGCGGAAATAGACTGTGACTCAAATAAAAACTCACCAATTCAAAGAAAATTTCAATCTCCTCCCCACTGAGTCACCTGGTTCATTCCCAGCCCTGTAGCCTGGCTTGGACCAGAGAGATGCACCTTTAAGGTCACCACACCCTAACCCACCACCAGGAAGCGGAGACCACCTGTCTGGAACACAGATTCACTTCCCTAGGAGAGCCGACAGCAGGATCTTCCACGATGAGGTCCTTCCCAGTCCCACGGGAGTCCCTTCTCACCCACGCCCCACACATACTCACTACCCACTGAGGCCTAGGCAGGTACCTGAGCTTCACGGACAAACCATGAGAATCTTTGAATTTCCTTGGTTGAACACAGAAAGCCAGTTACCACACACTCTTTCTTACACTCCACTTTATCTTCTAAAAAGGATTTAAGATAACACACATTAACACACATTAAAATCACTTAGTTCAAGATGACCCAGCAAAAACCATCATTCAAAAACCATCTTCCAATATTCTACCAGCTATTTCAAACCAGGTTACTCACTGACCCCAGATTACCAAAATACCCCAAAATGGGTATTTTTTCTTACCCACAGTTCCTTAATCCTTTCATCCATTTTCATCATGCCTACTATGTACAAGGTATTGTGGGAGCTACAGAAATGAATAGCACTGTAGATGAATAGGCTCTAGCATGGAAAAAATTAATAAGCTACGGTTAGAAAGACCAAACCTGAATGGGAAGTTGGCCAGAATAGGTGCAAATACATCTGCCGTGGTCCTTTGGGGCCAAGTCTCGGCAGTGTCAGGAACACAGATTCTGGAGTCAGTTATGACTTGTGTTTGGATCCTAATTCTTACAGCTATGATAACCATTCCGTGCCTCGGTATCTTCATCTGCAAAATGGAGCTAACAACATGCCTTCTCTCCCAGGGCCACTGGCAGCTTGAAACGACAGCTTGAACCTAGAGCGCTCAGGACAGGGGCCCAGCACATTGAAAACCATCAACAAAGGCTTTGGACAGGTGGTTTGTACACTGAGACAAAGAAGTGATCAGAGTGCACATGCAGCAAACTACCACCGAAGTCCTCCATGAAGAAGCTCAAAAGCATACAGGCTGTGATAGGTAAGAGAGGCACTCACTCCAGCTAAGGGCAAGGGAGCCCAGCAAGAGGCTCCAGCAGTAACTCCAGCTGGAAGGAGTTAGGGCCAAGATGGCAGCTGTGGGACCGGAGAGACCACATGAAGATCGAAGAAGGACACAGAGAAAAGAGGGAGGGTTCCTTTTCATCAGTTTCTTAAGTATTTTTTAACATTCCCATTGCCTCTCTGTCATCTCTGCAACTCAATGTCCATCCCCCCTTAACTCTTTCACAATAAAGATGCTCTGTCCGTTCCCATCCCCCATTCATCACTCCAGCCCTCCTCTCACATGACCTGACTCTCAGGTCACATCACACCAAGTGGATCCCAATCCAGAAGAAAGGATCCCAAGATCTGTGAATCCTAGGCCTCAATCCCTGTGACTTTAGCTCTTGCTAGCATTTTCTAAAGGTCGACGCCAACTTCAGCAATCTTTACACAATTCTGCCGCCCTCTCTCAACAAATTACTGAAAGAAAACCCATGCAAACTTTCACTGCCACCACATTGTTTTAAGACAGTGGACCAAACCACAAACTGCTAAAGAATCTTACGTTATTTACTAGGGAGCTAAACTTAGTTAAAAATCATTAACTTCTCTAAAAGACAGCACAGACATCCTACATCAAGAGAGTGACTTGAAATAGCTATCTCCACCAACCCCTACTCTAAGATGAAACCATCTGCATAGCAGTTAAATACAGGCCACAGAAGAACTGGTTGTCCACAGGTTTAAACACACAACACACACACACACACGATTTTTACTAGGTAGAAAGGTCAAATTCACCAAGTATTTTTATATGGCTAAGGTAACTCTTGGCCTCTGCCCCCATCTTCCAGCCTCCAGCTCAGGAAACCCTATGATCACCACCACCAATTTTCCCAGAAGAACCACATCACAAATGAGCCAGCCCTCTCACCTTTTATTACTAAAGGTTCACCGGGCCATAAGTACCATTTGCCAGCTTCTCTCTCTCAGCCCTGGAGAGGGCATAAGAACTGGTCAATCTCCTTAGCATCCCACACCCATGAGTATTAACTTCAGAGTCAGCAAAATTTCATCACATTGAATATTCTCAAAATCAGGGAGCCTCCAATGGAGTCTCTAAGTCCTCGTATTTCACAGAGAAATTTTCACCACAAAGATAATCAGAGCATGGGACTTCACCACTTGTGAAACTCAACCTAACGGGTTCTGGCCTCCCAGGCCAGTTTCAAACTGCACGCAGGGGATGAACATGACCTGGCCAAGTGGGTGGTCCCCGATGACATTCAAAAAACCAACTTCTGTGTCCTGGTGCTCAAGGGACCATTCCTCCCCACCTCAAGCACAAGTGGAAAATCAAATAACCCACCTCTTGAGTGCACATGTGTGCACACACATTACATACACACACACACACACACACACTTAACCTTCTAGAAGACCAACAGGAAGCAAAGGAGGCTGGGAAGATCTTCAGACCCTTCCCTTTCCATTCTAGCCACCTCCAGAAGATCCTAAACGGTTTCACCTGAAACAGTCGAAAATCTGACTCCACCCCAATTGGAGTCCAATTTTTTTTAAGGGGGGGCTCAGTGGGAAATGGACAGGCGGTAGATCTCTCTCTTATATGCATTTCATAACTCTTAAGAAATTTACCCAGGGAGAGGGATTGATAAGAGTAGAAAGCACTATACAATGTGATCAAACTTTCTTCACAGGAACATTTTGAACACAGCATCATGCACCAGCCAAGGACCTCAAAGTATACCTCTTAATGGACACAACACAAGGTTCCCACTCACAAACACACAATGTGCACACAATGCTGCTGCTAAGTCACTTCAGTCGGGTCCAACTCTGTGCGACCCCATAGACGGCAGCCCACCAGGCTCCCTCATCCCTGGGATTCTCCAGGTAAGAACACTGGAGTGGGGTACCATTGCCTTCTCCAAATGCATGCGTGCGTGCGCACGCACACACACACACACACACACACAAATATAATCTGAAACATCACTCGTTGGAAAGTAACCTAAGAATCTATTTCACCAAAACCTCACTCAAAACACACCTTCTACTCCAAAACAAAAGTTTCATATCTGCTTTTTATTCTTCTTGATTGTGGTCAACTTTTTCACAAACCCTCACCAAAGAGGGTTGGTCACTCCCATCCCCCAACAGACTGCCCAATCAGTACAGAAACCCCACAGGGCTGAGCCCTGCACAACGCCATTTAATGCTCCAGATAGGTGTCTATGCTCTTTTGCATAATTACAACATTATGAAATACCGTTTACCAAGTTAGACAGCTGCTGGAGGAGGGTACGCGGTGAGGGCAGCAGGGAGGTGGGCAGGACAGAAAGGCAAGGAGAAAACAAAGACCACTGCCAACTGGCTATGTACTTGCTTTTGGTACTAAAGAAGTTCAAGTTATCCAACCCTGTAATTATTGCCAGGATTAAAAATTTGTTACTCACGTAATCATGAAAGGCTTTTGCTTCACTTGAATGTTCACAAGTGTCTCGCCTTTCAGGAGCTGCACAGTAAAGGTCCCAAAATACGCTGCAAGTCGAAAAATAAAATAAGATCAGGTTACTAATTATTACTTGTGTGCCCAATGGCAAGTGTATAATGCATGGTGCTAACAGCACCAGGTCTCCCCAAGGCTCAGTCCCACCTTTTCAGCCTTCATTGGGCAAACTCAGTCTACAAAACAAAATGGACCCAACCTCTTCTGACAGCCTGCCATTTGTAGTAAGAGCAATAGTTCTCACCCTTCAGGCACCTACTCTGTGCTGAATGTTGCATGCCCATGACACTGCTTGAAACCCCCAAGAGCTGTAAGGTGGGTGATTTTATTCCTACTTTATACACAGGGCAACTAAGGCTCAAATCCATTAGTGCAACACACCCGCAGATGTCCAGGGAGGACAGGTTGGAATCTGTATGAAAATCCATGCCCGTCTCATCTGTGCTCCTATTACCACCCCCACCTCCATCCAAAATGGCTGCATTTCATTAAAAGATTAAACTGTCAAAGTCACGACTATGATTCATACACACAGCAACCTGGGTGACTCTGGCAATAAAAAGAACCTCCCGGTTCTTAATCCAGAGCCCATACCCCCAAACCCCTGCCAGCTCACCCGCACTCTCATCCAGGCCCTCCCCCAAGGCATTCCTATATAAAAGCCATTCCTCCCCTGCCCATTAAGGAACATAAATCCATCACCCAAAGGTGAGGTTATGGACGACCAAATATCTTGTTTTTCCACATTGACATAAAGCCCACCCCCCCTCAGACAGCCACTTGTCCAGCAAAAGCAGGGTTGAGGGGGAGATTTCCCTGCCTAACTCCCCTCCGTGATTTCTGTATGGTCACCCCAACCCTTTACATTATGTGAAAACAGACAGACAAATCCTTTGTCAACCAATAAAACCCTATACAAACACGAGGTCGTCAGTGGTATCAACAAGCAGCCTTAGAAACCCTCTCCAGGTCAAGAGCCCGAGGCCCAGGGATGGGAACCCGCTTGAAGGGTAAAGTGTGCACCAGAGCGGAGGTCTGACTCCTGGACCAGCGCTCCTGTCGTCATCACAAACAGCCAGCCCAGAAGAAACCATCTCAACTGCCAGTGCTGTCTGTCAGCGAACAAGCATCTCAATCCAGGTGCGCGAGGAACGCAGCCTGGCCCTCTTCAGATCCGCTCCACCGCTTCCTCCCACTCCAAAGGCTGCGGTCATCTGCTCGGTGTCAAATCACAGAGTCCCCGCTGCCGGAGCCCGGCAGGACACACTCTAGCTCCCAGAGCAGAGATAAGGTTGGAGAAGTTGTGTGTGTGTGGGGGGGGGACAGTGATTAAGCACAGAACAGGATAATCGGGGACTTTTACTAACTGCAGAGGGAGGACATTCTACTCCTACTAACAGCAGAACATTTCTTTCTGTGCTCTGAGGCTGCACACATTTGATTAACTTCCTCTACATGCTACATTTCTAACACGACAAACTCCCTGGCCCCTTCTGAGTAATTTTTACTCATAAGCCTAAGTTTCTGCAAAGTCCGTGGTGGCCAGACCAGCCAGCCCCAACCACACAACTCCTCTCGGAAAACAAAAGCACAGAAGACCCGCCACCCACTCCTACAGGTAGAATCCTTACACCACACCAAAAGCCTCCAACTCTGCAGTTGCGAGGTTGGCAGAAGTAATTAAAAACTCCTCTTCTCTGCAGCAAGTTAGAACAGACACTTCATCCCCCTGCATCTCAAAGACACTTGAAACAGTAACCCGAGCTGGCAGTCAGGTAAATGTGCTAAGATCCCAAGATGGGGCACTGAACTCTAACAAAATATCAAAAGCCACTCTGCTCTCTTTTCCTTTTGAAAAAGATGTCAAAGACTCCACCAATCGGTCCCACAAAACACCCAAGTCTTACACTCAAAGCAACTGTTCCCGTTGAACCTAAGCCTCCCTCCTGGGGGGCTGCAAACCAGGAGCAGATCTGTGGTGGTCCCAGGCAGACAGGGCCCAGGAGCCTGGGAGAGGATCACAGAAACAGCCCCCAACTACCAACGACAGGCATTTGCCAGGTCTCAGTAAAATGAAACCTGGAGGTTTTAGGGCTATTTAGAGGGGTGGGGGTTTGGTGGCAGGAACATCCAGTCAGTCTGAATCAGTATCTTTAAAGGAAGTGGCAGCCTCCTCGTGCCCTTTCTCAGGGTGCCTGGAAAAGGTCCCCATGGATCTTTCTCTCAAAGTTTTGAGCTCAGAGAAGAAAAAGGAAGGGACAGGGCAGTTGTAAAACAGACCTGGTATCCCCGCCACCGGTCCTGCCCCACCCCCACTCCCTCTAATTAAAGCAGCATGCAGAATTGACAAAAATCCTTCCAGGTTTTTTCCAAGTCCATGCTTGTGCCTCAGAGTGAGATGTAAAAGTAAGGCATTTCTATTGCAACACTAGGCGTGATTAGTAGGTTCTCACCAGTGGGAAAAGAGGAAACTTTAGGCATCGACCTCTTCTGCCCTTTTTCCCTTCTCTGCCACTCCTGATCTGAGGGCCCGAAGGAGCCCTGCTCTCTACAACGCTGAGGACTAAAGCACAGGGAGCCTGCTCCAGATCTCCTGTCTTTGTTCCCTTGGACCCCGGGGGGCTCAGAACAAAACAAACACACACACAAAACTATCACACAAACTTACCACCACCACGAGTGCAAAAACCCAGGCGGTTCTCCCAACGTGATGTTTTTTTCCCATCGAATCTAGAATGGAGAGAACAGAGACAGCTCAGGGCAGCAGAAGGAAGGGGAGGGCTGGGGGCTTCCCGGAGCCAAAAGGCTGTGAAGACCAACTAACAATAAATGCCAAAAGGTGATAAAAATTCAAAATGGTGGCCACAGTGGCTGCTCCAGAAAACAAAGGCTTTAAGAACGATGGGGAGGAGGGGGTGTCAAGAAACTGGATGATTGGGGGAGTTCCACTCACCTCCGACAAGAAGGTCTGTGCAGATTTCTGTGCTCCTACGTGCAGTAAATATTCGTAGACATATAAAGCTAACCTGGAAAGTGGGCAGGGGGCACAGAGAGGGAGAGGGAAGGCGTCAGATCACACTGGGTGCTCGCTCCTGGACCTTGCCAGCCGGCTTCCAACCCTGTCCGTGCTGTCCCATTGTGGCCCCGACCAGAGGTGAGCAGCTAGCTCGGTCCTGCCTGGGGCCAAGGGTGCGAGCAGTTAGGGGGTGGGTACCAGGAGACGCGTTTACTTCAAGCCGCGGGGGCTGGAGAGCAGCCCCCGAACTTGAACTTCCAAGTAGCGTCGGGACCAAACCCACCTAGGTCTCTCAAACTCGCAAACCGCCCGACCCCAGAGCCTCGCTCCTTTTCCCGACCTACTCCTTGCCACCGACCCACCCTCTCCCCAGCTTTGAGGGTCCGGGGAGACTCAGTCCTGGACTCCGGGGTGCTCCGAGCACTCTGGAGAGGGCAGCAAAGCGCCGCCCTCACCACCTCCCCCCAAAACAACTGTCCCCCAAGCTAGGGCCAAGCCGGCGCCGCCGTCCCTGCCCAGCCCGGCGCCCCAGAGGGCGCGGGGCCGGCGGAGAGGCCGAGGGCAGGGAAGGCAGAGCGCTCCCGGCCGAACAAAGCCCCCGGCACGCACTCCTCAAGCCGCGGGCGGACAAAAGGAGCCTTCGGGGCTGCAGAAGCCACGCGCCCCCTGCCCGCGCCCGGTGGGCAAAGTACGGTCACCGCCGCGAGCTTCCCGGCCGGGGCGGACGCCCCGGCTGGCTCGCAGGACCTCGCCCACCCCTCTCCGCGGGCCCCCGCGCCCGGCACGCCCCGGGGCCACCAAGTGCCCCCTCCCCGGCGGCGCCCCCCAAAGCCCCAACCTCCGCCGGCTCCCAACAATGGGCTCTCCCACACCGCCCGCCGCGGCCTCGGGAAGGGGCCAGGCTGGCGGTGCCGGGGCCCGGAGCGCAGCAGCCCCCGCCCGCCCACCTGCCTCCCACCACCCGCCCGCAGCCCGGCGGCGGCGCAGCCGCCACTTGGAAAATAGGGCTTACTTTTCCCGAGCCTGCCCGTCCGAGGGCACCGCCGAGCCTTTGCCTTTGGCAAACATGGTTTGCAGAGAAGAGGACGCCGAGCCTCCTCGCCGCCGCCGCCGCCGCCGCTACCGCTCCGGCTGCTCCCGAGCTGCCCCCTCGCTCCCGGCCCCCTCCCCGGCGCTCGCTCGCACACTCGCTCGCGCTCTCCTCGCCGCGCTCCCCTCCCTCCCCCCCAGGCGCTGGCTCCGCGCTCTTTCCAGCTGTCAAAGCGTCAGCCCCGGCCGCGGCCCCATCGCCCTGGAACTCCTCCCGCGCCGGCTCGGCCTGGAGTGCCGGTGCCGCCGCCGCCGCCGCTCGCCCGCCGGCCCGGCTGCCCGCTGGCTCGCTCGCGCGCCCTCCCGCCCGGCTCCGCCTGCACCGCCCTCTGCGCCTCCGGCACCGCTGCCGCCGCCGCTGCCGCTGGTCTACTTGGAGCTCAACCGAACGTGGCTACCCCGGCGAGGGATCGAGGCGGGCGTCAACGTCCCGCGATTGATTGGCGCCTCGGCCAATCTGCGCGCGGGGGCGGGCCCAGGGCGGCCCGGGAGGGACGCCCTGTCAGCGCCCGGCCGCGGCAGTCCCCGCTGAGGCCGCCACCGAGGAGCCGCTGTCCCTGCTCCTGCGGGCGAACTGGGGGTGTCCGGGGGCGCGAGCCTCTGTTTTCTCTAGATGTAGGGAGAGGACGCGAATCGAGACGTGGGAGTTCTAGTCTTCCCGGCCCCCGCGAAGAGGGGGTCCGACCCGCGGTCTCCGCGGCGTGGACCGCTGGGGAGCGGGTGGGGGGTGGGGGGCGCTGCGGCATTGTCGGAGGGGAGGGGACGCGGACCCCTGAGCCGAGCACCGCCGGCTCCCTCCCGCCACGTCCCTCTCCCTTATCTGCCCCTCGCCTCCCCCTCCTCAGCCCGCGCCAGCCCAGCCCTGATCTCCCCTCCCCCTCGCCTGCCCTTCCCTTGGGCTCCGACCCCGACCCCCTCCCCAGACTCCCACTCGCCCCCACCCTTGGCCGCCCCGCCCGCGGTCCTCCCTCTCGCCTAGTCTGGCTTCGGAGCGCGGAGCCCGGGGCTCCACGCTGAGAGCTGGGCGGCTCGAGCCGGCGCCGAGGCGCGCGGCTGCTCCTTTACTAGATCATTAAAATACTTTGGAAAACCCCAAAGTGGAGTCGCGCGAAAATGGCCCTTGGCCTGCTTTGGGGGACCTGGGGGAAGGGACTGAGGACTTGGGCTAAGAGAAGGGAGAGTGATTGCTCCCAAATTTCCAAGGTCTGCCCGCCCTAGCAAGTTAGCCCCTCGGCTTCTCCGGGAGAGATGGTGCCATTCCAGGGTAGAGGGGGAGGTGTCACCTGGGCGCCCCGCTGCGCGGAATGCGCGCCACAAAAATCTGCAAACTTCTAATAAATGGAGCTAAATTGGGGAGTGGGGTACGAGAGCCAGGCGTGGGGGGAGGGGAAGCTTCCATTGTCAGTGACCCAGGTGTACAATGGGAAATTGAGGGGGGCTGGCAGAGTGACCCAGCTATTTGCTGCTAACTCCTTTTTGCCCACGCAGAGAACCCGAGGACACACTGAGTGTCCCTCATTAGACACTCTTACGACGAGAAACCAACCAAACAGGGCAAGACTCCCCCATTTTCAGACTGTTTTTAGAGCGCGGTTCTCTTTAAATGTGATAAAACACTGTCTCTTTAAAAGAGTCAAGCAGAAAAAGCTGTGTAAGCGCTGATTGGCTGCCTGTTTGGATACATCTTTAGGGGAGCCTTGAAACTGTTAGCCTAGGTTGATTTTTTTTTTTTTTAACTGTGCTGTTCCAATAAACAAGTAACGCCCCTCCCCCTAACATGCCTCGCACCAAACAATTAAAGGATAGGTCAGTGTCCTGGGGAAAACACGTTTCAAGTAGGAAAACTCAGAACTAGATTCAACAAAATAAGGGATAATTCACTACCATTAAAGTTTGCTTATTTTGATTTGTCGAAGAGAAGAAGGGGCTTTAAAAAGAAATGCCCCTGCAGCAAACAGACGGCATTGGTTCAGGAAGGAGACTCTGGGTGCATTTTTGGAATAATGTTCTACTCAGTGTAACAGCTTCCCTAAATTAGAATACAGCCAGGCCCTACCAGTGCCTCTGGACGCACTCTGTTCTCTGCTGGGACCTAGAGCTTGCAGGGAAGGGAGGTAGAAAAAGGGAAACTCGCCTGGTCTCTGGTTGTCTGTGTGCTAGCTGCTAGTTTAAAGGTTGTTTTGTGAATGAGGGAAGCATGGAGGTTGGGAGAGAGTTGAAATACAACGATAGGGGAGAGAAGGAAATAATTACAGTTATTTTTCCCCCAGGCGGTTTAATTTAATAGGGCTAACTTAAGGTACCTTAGAGCCCACACTAATTAAATTGGCCTGCTCATACCCTTCCCCTGAACTTCTATTTCTGATGGGCTAGGAATGGCCAGGAATGGCTTGTCAACAGACTGACTCACAAGAAGCCTGACTCATCTTGGGTCTGCAAGGCCCACAAATTATGAGTATCATGAGTGTGGGTTAGGTCCTGGCTCAAGGAAAATACTGCCCATCTCTGGCCCTGTCTCTATCAAGTTGGCCGTGCTCTGTCAGAGTCAGGGTTGCAACACAGGTATATCTGTGCATCCTTTTCCTCATCTGTCAAATGGGAAAGGGGGATCTTTAATATTTCCTTAGAGTCTGATGTTCTATGACGCTAAGATTTCCTTTCTATAGTTTTCTTTCCTCACACCCCACCCTGAAAAAAAGGACGAGTGCTTCCTCCCAGAACAGGTGTGGCATGCGTTTGAGGAACCTGTGCCAGGCTCTCTGTCCCTGTGGTCTGCCCTTTCCTGGAACTTGACAGAGAATGTTGGTAGGTTGGTGGTGAAGCTAAAAGAGATAGTGGGAGGGCCCAGGCAGATCGAGAAAGGTAGCCTGCCATAGCCTCCCAGCCTGCTGGAGAGAGGGGAACTGATGGGTACGCAGGAAGCAGGACCACTCGGCAACCCCAGAACAATGACCCAAAATGCAGTCAGATCAGAAGCAAACACCCTACCCAGGAATGGCACTGTCTCTGTGGAGCAGCTGAGGGACTAACATGATAGGTGGGCAGAACTTGGAAATTTGGGAGAAAATGGCTCTCTTCACTTAGGTCCTCCATCCATTCCCCCAGGCTACTTTTCTTTGTTGGATCTCCCAGTATTTCCCAGTGGACCTCCCCCCCCACCACCACCTTCCACCACCTCCTCTAGCCTGGTCTCTCTGCCTGGAGTGCCTCCCACCCCACCCCTCTTCTTTGATCATTCTTTAAGGCTTACATCCCCTCCAGTGCCTCCTCCATGAAAACCTCCCTGTTTTTCACTCCCAGAGTAAAACCCATCCCTCTAACCCTCTGCTTTGTTAGTTTTTTGCTTAACCTCCAGTAGCTCTCTGTATTGGAGAAGGAAATGGCAACCCACCCCAGTATTCTTGCCTGGAGAATCCCAGGGACGGGGGAGCATGGTGGGCTGCCATCTATGGGGTCGCACAGAGTCGGACATGACTGAAGTGACTTAACAGCAGCAGCAGCTCTCTGTTCATTCTGCCCATTGTTGTAGCCATTTGTTTACTGTCTGTCTCCCCAGTCGGGGGTGGGGGGGTGGGGGAGTGGGAAGGAACCAACTCTGAGTCATCTGTGTCTCCAGCACCAGCCCAGGTGCAATACCTGTGTACAGTTAACACTCCATGCACACACCAGGGGCTACAGGGGGCAAGAGAGGAAAAAGTGGTCCCATTCCCCAGAGTCACTCAGGGATAGGTAAGGAAATAAGAAATGGACACCACCAACGGTAAGATTAGATAGGACCACACCCCCAGCTCCGCCCCACCACCTAAACTACAACTGCTTGGAAGTACTATACTTTAAGTTCCCAGAATACACCGAGCTATTTTACACATCCAACCTAGGCTTGTTCTTTCTTCCTCGCTCTCTATTACTCCCTCCCTCCCTTCTTCCCTCTTTCTTTCCTTTCTTTCTTTTCATTTAGGACATGTTTACTGAGCATCTACTATGTACTGAGCACTGTTCTAGGCAGTGGGTAATAAACTAGGCAAAATTCCACAGAGCTTACACTGGTGTGAAATGCTCTGCCCCCAAGCATCTGGACTCCTAATATTGTAAAATTCAGCCTGGGAAAGCCTTCCCCGGATGCCCTCCGGGAGCTCCTGGTTTGGGCCAGGGGTCCCCTGGCATCCCCTCCACCTCTCCTTAACCATGACCTTTGGTTGGCCGCCCCTCTGCTTCTCTCTGACCATGACCTTTGGTTGGCCACTGTGCATGAGTGTGGTCTGTGCATTGGCCCCACGGGAATGTGAGTACCTCTCTTCACAGTCAGGGAGTGATTTTCATTCCCCCGAGGACCTCCAGTACCCAGCCACAGTGGTGAAAAGAATGGGACAAGTGAGTTAACTGAGTGACCAGAATGTGGAGGAACGAGCAGGTGGGGAGAAAGAGGGGAAGGAGAGGTGGATTCCCAGCTTAGGCTAGGATGGCCACTCCTGACTCAGCTGCCAGAAGCTAGGGGGCAGAAATCCTGGGCCATGGGATCAGGTTGGTGGGGGCCAGGCCTCCAGAAAGTGGCACTTAAAGGAAAGACACTTCAGGTCCATGGGCTCAACCCTGGTGGTTATGCTTGCCAAAGATGTCAGAGGTTTGCAGCTCTATATATGTGTTCCCCACAACTGCTCAGAGGCTGGGGCTGCCCAGGTGTTCCTCCAACCCCCGCTACTCTGGGACGTTTAAACGGATTCTGAGCACGCAGCCCATCCCCCTCCTGCTCACTGGGTCCTGGAATTGCGAGGAGGCACCTCTGGTCTATACCTTGGACTACTCTGCCCAGCGAGGCTCCTGCCCAGGCTGATCCACCCCAAGTTTTTAGCAGAAGTTTCCCCAAGGGCTTTGGGGGACTCCATGGGAGCAGTGCAAAATCCGGGTCCAAGGGACCTGGCTCAGGGGTTTGCAGATAGACTTTGGGCAGGAGATTGTCCCCTCTCTGAGTCTGTGTGTGA